AATTTTTAACATTCAGATAAAGAAATTAGATAATTTTGTGTTGTTTTCTATATCGCTGCCGCGATAGCGGCTATCAATTCTACAGCGACCCTAGGACAAAATTATCCACCTGTTCCTCCCTCTTACTGATTTCTTATTTGTCTTGCCCTACTATTATTTACTCGTTGATTTTTGCATTATATTTATATCGTGGCTACCTAGTATCCAGTAAAGCTTGGTAAATATAAAACTATATGCAGGTACCGCAACGAAAATATGCAATAATTAAATCAAAAATTAAATATGAATTACAAAAGAAATACAAGGTTTGAACATTTTTGCTAATATATAGTCCTCGAACACATGACAGCAGTTTATTTTGTTGGCATTAATTTTAAACAATAAAAATAGAAATAAAAAAAAAAGTGAAACAATAAAACTACCAAAAGACTCATCTGAAAAGATATATTTTGTTAGCAATAGAAATTTTTAAAATTATTTTTACTTCAAAAAAAAAATCATAAAAGTAATCAAAAATAAGAGGTTACTGAATACAGTGACAACAATTTTTATGAATAAGGATGAAAGACAAATGGTGGAGGACCGAAAACGATTGGTTTACGATCAGTGTTTGTGTGCCTGTAATTTGATATAAAACAACAGTCATCTCACCTCAGTTTTTTTACAGTGTATAGATTATTAAATGCAACACTGTGTACCAACTATTCAAAAAGTATCGTAAAAAATTTCTTAAAATATGATTAGTTAGCAGTAATTTTTGTTTGCTGTTGTTGCTACATTTTACTCTACAAAATCTAATTACACGCAGGAACAAAAAGAAAGTACACTTCTTAGTTTTATGTGCTACGGTACAAATACAGCTGAATAAATCTTAGACATTTCTAAAAAACAAAAATTTTAAAAAAATGTTTCTGTATTCTGACCTATACAAAAACTTAAGAAATAAATAAAGTCAAAAGAAAGTTTCTTGTCTGCCTGTAACATGCAATTCTTATCGTTCTGCGTACTCTTTCATTCTGAAATTGTCTTCAACAAAACAACAGAAAAAAAGTGCTTAATTTATCCAAAATGATTAACGAACATCAAATAAGCAATAAAATAAAATCACTGCAATAATTAATCATTTCTTCTTTGACTGTCAAATGACAGTCGTCGTTGTTTTATTCCGCAGTATAAATTGTAAGAAAACCAAAGAAACATCAATAAGAAACATTCATATAACGCTGAAATTCCTAACAAAATTTTTAAATAAGTTTAGACTTAGGTTAAGTTAAAAATAGATATTACCATTGACAGCTACCATTAAAAAACACAATGTGCTTTTCAACTGTATATCTGTTGCTAAATCTTCTCATAACAACACAGAAATTAATCGACCAACATGAACATTGTCCATTTGTGCTTCACCAACTCTCGGCTCACCAACTTCGGTCTTGGTACTCACAGTGTCAACTACATAAGTACGAATAATGGTCAACAAATATCAACAAATTTTTTGGTATCGTTTAGCTTGGGAAAATATGCCCTGACAAAAAAAATGAATAGAGTTCTCAAGTGTCATCATACACCGATACTAAGCCTGTTTTCTTTCTTTTTTTCCCTCCTTTCTTCAAATAACAACAACATGCCAAAAACAGAATGCCAAAACCAGAAAGTACCATATACCTTTGATATCCTAACCAAATAACTTAACCAGAATGTTGGTGACGAAATGATGACTAAAACGCTTTGAAGAAACAATTCCACTTCAATTTTATTTCAATTTTACCACTCTGAAACCACTTTTTATGTAGCTTCTTTCATCGATACTGAACAGCTGTTATTATACATACAATATCCAGAGAAATAGAAAAAAATGATAGAAAGCAAACCAGATGTGAAAAAAATTATCATCTTTTTTCTTCTTGCTTTCAATCTTAAACTCTACTACAGTATCTTTTACCGCTGTTATTCAGCCTTTTCCTCCATTAACTAGCATAAAAGTTGGTTCTCTAATTTTTTAAAAATTGCTCACATATCTCATTTTATTAAATCTCAAATACTAACATTAAAAAATGATACAAGTGATGACAACAAATATGCTATGTTGAAAAGCCTTAAAATTAAATCTGCTGATATCTCTGCTGAATAACCCAATGCTTCATTCGTTTTTAAGCAGAAGACTTCATTTTAAAAGGATCGACAGGCATAAAATAAATAAAAAAAAAAAAGCTAAATCAAATTTTTCGTCATCTTTCTTCATTGAGTAGAAAAATCTTTTTTTTTCTTGATAAAGCTGGTTAATCAGATCAAAATGTAATGGCAAAAATAAGAGCAATATTCAAACCAAATGGATTCGTTCCCTTAATCATCATCAACAACATCATCCGCGACAGTGTTGAATGACAGGGTTAACTTCCGTTCAACGCTGTCGCCATTCTGACAACTACCCAAATAAAACCAAAGTTATATTCTTGCATTCATTTATCTAAAAGTTGATTTGAGTACACACAAGGACTGCTGTTGACATTATAAGTTGAAAAATGAACCGTCGCTTATTTCCTTAAATTCTGCTGTTTTCTTCTCTCCCTTTAACTCATTCTTATGTAAAGTTCAAGCTATATTATACAGCTCTTCAAGTGCGGTTTACCATCAAACCGTTTTAACTATTTTTACAGCTAATTATCCCTCTGTGAATGCTTAATTAACAACTTATAACCGGCTAAATTATCAGCTGCAGCGAGCAAACATATAAAAGCAGTGCTCATTGTTGTAATCAAATATTTGAAAATTCATGAAAAGCCTTTATTAAACGTAAGAAAATATGCGCCCTTTCATCCTTAAAATCTCTCTCTGCTCAAGCAGATAATGCTATAGAATTAAAAGCCAATTACATAAAGGATTACTCTAAAAAATGAAAAAATAATCTCGTTGTGTATTCCAAAAAATAAAGTTCACAACGATTTAGAATTCCTCAAACAACTGAACACACTCGAAGGTTGTCGGTGAGGTTAAAAGTCAACATAGACTCTAAATACAAACATGCCCGTACCTAAGTCTTCTGACAACCGTTTTAATTCTTAGAAAATCTTAACAGCCGGTTTCAGATGTACAATTGAAGAAGAAAAAAAACAATGGTAAATTTCTGATTTATTTGTGAAATTTATATGTGGAGATTTACAAAAAATGACTAATTAAAATAATATACACGTAAAATTTAAGTGCGACGAGTGAGAACAGAGAAGAAACAAGTATTCCACTTTTCTTTATAAAAAATATCTCTTTTCTTTATTCACTCTCATTCTAAGAAAAAAAAGATGCAATAATGAAATAAAAGAAGGTTTAAGAATTACATGGCAATGCCAGTGAAAATATTAATCGCAACAAATGTTTTCACTCACCCAAGCTTAAAATGTCGTCAACGATTGCTGGAATAATGGAGAAAATCCTAACTTGATACACTGCTGAAAAGTAAGTGATACTACG